GCAGACAACACGTAGAGGCGACACGCAGAGACAACACCGACGACACGTACAGACGACACGCAGAGACGACACGTAGAGGCGACACGCAGAGACACTGGATTTCCTTGCTGATGCAACCAGACCACCGAGCTACCACAGCCTCTGTGTGGAGCAGGGAGCTGTTATCTAGGGTGCCCAGAGGAGCAGATTGTGGGGGTTAAGGGCCTTGCTCAAGGGCCCAGAGTGGGAGAAATGAGGGTGGAGTCAGGTGTGGGTGTTTCATCTTTCCCACCCACATTTTGATGTTGTCGGTCCAGGGAGTTGAACCAGCAACCTTCTGATCACAGGCCCACCTTCTCTAACCTCTGCGCCACCACTCCCCATATTTATTTCATCACTTGCAAGAAATACATTTTCAACTTAAAGATGGAGTTCAGTGTGTCCTGTACCTTTGAACAAGCAGGGCTCCCTGTCCTGGCAACAGAACCGAACTACTGACCGCGCTAAGCTAGCCGCTCTAACAGACTCACTAGCTAAAAAGCTACAGAGGAAGTGCTCCATTTTCCTCACTCTGAGCTGTCTCCCCCCCCCCCAAAAATAAAAACCTGCCAGTACACACACCGCACAACATAAATGCGTCTCAAGACAGATGGGGGGAGACCCACAGTCCCCCCCCCCCCCCCCCCTTCCCCCCCGACAAAAATCCTGGAGCGTTTGTGCGCCCTGCCAGGGCAAGTGAGGTAGGGAAACACAGGAGTTTATTTCTGAAGTAAAATTGTTCTCATCATTGGATCATTTTGCTGAAAAAAGTTTGATTATTAAACTTGTAGAATATTGGTGGCTGAAACCAAACCAGTGGTCTGTTGGAAAATTATTTTATGCCTTAAAGAACTTCCAGCACCTTTTGTTGTTGCAAAGTTTAAGTCATGCCATCACTATTTCTCAGAATAATAAGAAGTGAAACAGCTGGATGACTACTAAAGTTCTGAGTAATTGTCATGTTCAGTGTGGACTCGCACTATTTCAACCCACAAGCTCAAACTTTTTCCAGGGGATGACCCTTAAACAAATCGTAATGTACTTTTGGACCCAACATTGCTCCTGAGTCTGCACCTAGTGACGGACCTGTGCCGTTTTTATTCAGCGTCGTGTTGGATACCTGTGCTCCTGAGAATGGGCCTGCGTACAGCCCGCTCATTAAAATCTCAGCTGATGAGGAGCAGCATTGTCTCGTAAAACAAGGAATGAAGTGCCGTTATGTTTAGTTTTTATTCTTACAGCTATCCAATACTCTGCAAGGTGTAAATATTCCTATTTTTGTGGTTGTATGACAAAAATGACGTCTCTTCGTTCTTTCATGGCCTTCGAGGATGTTCTCTGTGCACAAACTCTTGGGAGAACCGTTTTCAGTCAGGTCTTCTGGATGGTTTCTTTTTTTTTGTGTGCTGAAACGTTTCACCTTCCATCCAGAAGGCTTCATCAGTCGAGGAAACAACACAAAACTGATTCTTCCACCAAACAGCTTACTGACTCTGGTCTTGGTCCATGGACTGTGGAACTAAGAGCCACAGCTGAGCTGCACCGGCAGCTTAGAGCAGGGTGGAGGGAGGCTCAGCATGAGGGAAGAGGCAGCGTGCGTGATGCCGTTAGCTTTTTAGCTATATTGCGCCAGGAGTGGTGGAGGGTGCATAGTTTGGTTCGATAGTTGGTGCGGTTCTGTTAACAGGGTGGGGCACCCCGCTTGTATGATGGTAGGGGAAACACTGAAACAAATTTAAAAGGTGGCAGATCATTGAAAACTTTACAGTAATGACTGCTGGATGTCCGGCCCCTGAGCTGCTGGCTTTTAGAGACTGTGGCCCCTGAGCAGTTGTGTTGAATAGCCTGGTCTACTGTAGGTGAACTGAAGACAAACCTGGAACTTCACGGTGTCCAGGTTTGAAACGTGAACGCTCCCTGGATGTGAAGTGAAGTCCACTTGGTTTCATTTTTGATCTTTTAGGATTTGTCATGTCAATGACTGAAACTCTGAACCAACAAACTTCAAACCTGTTTTTATAACTTGTTCTGCCAAAAGGTAGAGAAGGCCAAACATTTTTAAAAATACCCTAAACACCAGGTCCAACAAAGTTGGGTCATCTGGACGTGTTGTTGATGAAACGTTTTGTCTTTCACCCAAAAGACTTCATCAGTCCGAGGCGCCACAACTAGCTCAGTCTTATCAGCAGCACCTTACATAGTGTCAACCAGTCGGATGGTGCTCAGAGGGTTTCTGAGGTTCGCCCTCTCCCCCGCTGACTTGTCTGAGGCAGCCATAGCCAAAGTGGTTCAGATGTGAATCAGGAGGTCCTAAACACCAGGCTCTTATTTGTCTTTCAGTTGCTGATGAAAAAATACTGACCATGGAGGTGTCGGAAAGCACTGGTATGTACGAAGTCTGTCTTCTTGTTTGTATCATGTACATGTTGCTGCTGGACTCCTCGTTGTTGTGACACAAACTGTAACCACGGGATTATCAAAACCTGCATTCATGGTGCTGCTCGTCATGTTTTAGGACACGGCAGCATTAGAAATTACAAGTGCTCAACAACCACTGAAGCTCTTCCATTGACATTTTTAACCTGGTGCCAAATGCTCTGTGTCACAGTTGAGGTAGTATCTCACTGGACTGTGACTCTCGCGGGGTCTGAAATGTTCAGTGTTTGCAGTGGTTCTCAATATACTCGTGAGTCGCAGAGGCCCACAGTCTTATCACCTGAATTTTGAACATGTTCAAAGAATTTGTGCTGCAAATTCTCTCTCAAAAGAGTCAGCTGTCGCATGCGTCTCTAAATCTGTATTTTAACTCCGGTGCTGGAGCTCTCCTCTGACAGAAAATATCTGGCACATGTCCAAGTCTAAAAGCCACACTGAAGATGAAGAACTGGAAAACTTAGTCCAAGTCTGACTATCTTCATTTCTAAAGTACTCCAGTACATTCAAGCTGCTGCCAAAGTGGGTACAGAACTAGTTGAGATGGGTAGACTTGGAAAACAGAATCAGTTTTACAAGCTGTGCACACAAAAACAGGCCGAGTACATTTGAAATGCCACCACACAGCACATAACACTTAAAATTCAGTCACACATAAGCACATAAGAAATTTGCCCATTTTCTCGCAAATTTGGGTTTTTAATTAGTAGGGGTGTAACGGTACACCCCTTATATATATATATAGAGAGAGAGATATATATATATACAGGTCCTTCTCAAAAAATTAGCATATTGTGATAAAGGTCATTATTTTCCATAATGTAATGATAAAAATGAAACTTTCATATATTTCAGATTCATTGCACACCAACTGAAATATTTCAGGTCTTTAATTGTTTTAATACTGATGATTATGGCATACAGCTCATGAAAACACAAAATGCCTGTCCCAAAAAATTAGCATATCATGAAAAGTTTCTCTAAACAAGCTATTAACCTAACCATCTGAATCATCGACGTAACTCTAAACACCTGCAAAAGATTCCTGAGGCTTTTAAAAACTCCCAGCCTTGTTCATTACTCAAAACCACAATCATGGGTAAGACTGCCGACCTGACTGCTGTCCAGAAGGCCATCATTGACACCCTCAAGCAAGAGGGTAAGACACAGAAAGAAATTGCTGAACGAATAGGCTGTTCCCAGAGTGCTGTATCAAGGCACCTCAGTGGGAAGTCTGTGGGAAGGGAAAAGTGTGGCAGAAAACGCTGCACAACGAGAAGAGGTGACCGGACCCTGAGGAGGATTGTGGAGAAGGGCCGATTCCAGACCTTGGGGGACCTGCGGAAGCAGTGGACTGAGTCTGGAGTAGAAACATCCAGAGCCACCGTGCACAGGCGTGTGCAGGAAATGGGCTACAGGTGCCACATTCCCCAGGTCAAGACACTTTTGAAGCAGAAACAGCGGCAGAAGCGCCTGACCTGGGCTACAGAGAAGCAGCACTGGACTGTTGCTCAGTGGTCCAAAGTACTTTTTTCGGATGAAGCAAATTTTGCATGTCATTCGGAAATCAAGGTGCCAGAGTCTGGAGGAAGACTGGGGAGAAGGAAATGCCCAAATGCCAGAAGTCCAGTGTGAAGCACCCACAGTCAGTGATGGTCTGGGGTGTCATGTCAGCTGCTGGTGTTGGTCCACTGTGTTTTATCAAGGGCAGGGTCAATGCAGCAGCTATCAGGAGATTTTGGAGCACTTCATGCTTCCATCTGCTGAAAAGCTTTATGGAAATGAAGATTTCATTTTTCAGCACGACCTGGCACCTGCTCACAGTGCCAAAACCACTGGTAACTGGTTTACTGACCATGGTATTACTGTGCTCAATTGACCTGCCAACTCTCCTGACCTGAACCCCATAGAGAACCTGTGGGATATTGTGAAGAGAAAGTTGAGAGACACAAGACCCAACACTCTGGATGAGCTTAAGGCCGCTATCGAAGCATCCTGGGCCTCCATAACACCTCAGCAGTGCCACAGGCTGATTGTCTCCATGCCACGCCGCATTGAAGCAGTCATTCATGCAAAAGGATTCCCGACCAAGTATTGAGTGCATAACTGAACATGATTATTTGAAGGTTGGTGTTTTTTGTATTAAAAACACTTGTCTTTCATTGGTGGGATGAAATATGCTAATTTTTTGGGACAGGCATTTTGGGTTTTCATGAGCTGTATGCCATAATCATCAGTATTAAAACAATTAAAGACCTGAAATATTTCAGTTGGTGTGCAATGAATCTGAAATATATGAAAGTTTCATTTTATCATTACGTTATGGAAAATAATGACCTTTATCACAATATGCTAATTTTTTGAGAAGGACCTGTAGTTGTGACACATTCTTGTCCGCATGAACATTTTATACTCAGTGAGAAACTCCTAATGAGACGTTCACCCACCCCAGCTCTAGTCGCCACTTCCTTCCCTGCACAGATGTTTGCTTCCCGTACCATGACCAGACATTGTCATTACAGAGGCTGACGCAGCACGAGCCTTTAGGCACAAAGACACTGCAGCCGTTTCCAACAGAGGAACACTCGTAACGATGGCTGAACTTTCTAACGGCCTCGGCCAGCTGCTCCTCAGCAGAGCAGTTGATATTAAATGAGGGTGGTGTAGTTCACCTACTTTTGCATATTAACATGCCCACAGCAACGGTCTGACCTATTGCACAATACTTGATGCATACCCATGAAAGAGACAGTTGTGTGTGGACCTTGTGTCATGAGGGGGCTTCTGGAGCCCATGAGAGAAGAAAACGGGAACAGATTCCTTCTCTTCTCACGGCGTATGAATCTACATTACATGTTTAATATAAAACGACAGGAGAGTGATAAAGAACACATTAGTTTCTGTAATGGGGGACACACCACTTCAAAGCTCTAAAGTTCACTTTCTGCTCCCTGAAGAGATCATCAGTCCTTGAAGAGCCTCTTCAGGTCGGCAGCCTGGACGCGTCCCAGAACTGAAGCCGTTTACAAAGTCTTCAGTTTGGGTTTGCTGTTTGGGGCTTGTGGGTTCTGCTTTGGTTTACTGATGGAGCAACAAAACTACAACCCTCTGTGACAAACGCAAGACAGTTCGGGACCCTCACGACTTGTCCAAACTTTTTGAAGAGTCCCTCAAGAACGCTGTTCACCAACTGGTCTTCAGTGGTTGTGCTCTTGTCAGATTCGAGTTTCTTCCTCGCTCCGGACTCATTTCTTGGTAGCGGTCACCTTCATTCTCTCCTGTTTCAGTGACTTTCATCTTTGAAACATGGCGACACCTGAAACTATAGCAAACAGTGGAGAGTCCAGCTACCGCTCTTGGGATAGCCATTCTGAACTTACCGGACCGGACTGAGTGAACCTTATGAAATGCTAGTTTGCAACATAGTTTATAGCTTCGTTGGTTTTGGCCACTGAACACTGGCAGAACTGAGTGATGCAGTGGATTAGCAGAAGCTTGTGTTTGTTTTCTTTGTCTTGCTCTGCCACAGTTTCAGGGAGTGTTTCATTTTTACTTTAAACACACGTGGTCAACGACAAAATATTCAGGAACGTTGAAGAGGCTCACTTTGAATTCTGTGCTCTGCATTTGTTGAGCTGTTTGCTGCTAAACTGTGACTTATGTGTATCGTACACGATCATATTGAAGCAACACAATGTGTGATTGTTCTGTTGAAGTAAAAAACCTAACGCTCATCACCTGCTGACATCATTTCCTCCACAGATTACATGTAGTGCTCGTTTGTAACCTCTGGTACAGTTGGTGTACAGGAACCCAGCACTGGTTAACATGGCACAGGTCAGCCAGGACCACCATGAGCATGTTAGCTGGAACAATTACCCATAATGCATCATTTTACAAGTAAACAAACTCACATTTAAAGCTTGTTTAATGTTGTTTTTTTGCCATTGTTCTTTAGATGTACATCAACAGTGGATTAACTTTTGAAATACGTTATTTAAGATGGCCAACACATCAGAGCGACCTTAGCTAACAAACAAAAGTCAAAGTTATCGTGAGTTTTGGACTATTGACTGCAACTGGAAATTAGCCATGCCCACTAAATGAAAAAAAAAAAAAACTAAAACAATTTTGTACCGATATAAACTGAGGGTGTACATGTAACAAGATATTTACACAGAAAGATTTTTAAAACTTTTAATTAAGTATGTACTGGTAACGTACGTCCAGTCAGGTTTTCTCTGAACAGTGCCGGCAACACGGCTGGTTAAAAACAATAAATCCAGCAGCCTGCCAGGAAAGGTCACTGATCGCTGTGCTCTGAGGCCTTTTCGTCTCATGAATGTGAGACACCACGATGGTCTCACTCTAAAATCTTCAATCTTGTTTTTGGTGGTGATGGTTTTGTCTTTCAGTCGGATCTGCACGGTGGAAACACCTCGGCCGTCTGCTCTCTGTGTTCACTCGTCTTCAAGAACGTTCTCAAGTTCAGGTCATCTGCTTTTTCTTTTTTTTATTTATTTAACAACTGGAAGCTTTTGTCGTCCTTTTGCAAAGATTCAGTTCACCACGCTGCCGTCTCCAACGTCTCACCATCGAGTCGTTGTTGCCAAGCTGACGTGCAGCAGCTCTATTTCCTTGGACAGCCAGATCAATCGCCTTTAACTTGAAAGCTGCATCATAGCATTTCTTCGTGTTTTCCATGATGAGGGTCTGTGCACGAAGCGCAAAATAACTGATCTGAAGAACTTGGTATGAGAGCGTTTGATTTACGCTAGTTCAAAGGTTCATTGGTTCACTGTGACCTGTTCGGTAATTTCACTGGTCAGATTTTTTTTTAAACTGTTATTTATACTGGTAGTGTCATTGAGTCATGAGGACTGACACCCCCCCCCCCCCAAGAGAGACATGTATTGGCAGCAATGTGAGGGCCGGGTGTGACGAGGCGAAAAGTTTTTGGTAGCAGGAAGCTCATTAATCCATGAAAACCCTCCATAAATTAGCTGCAGCGTTGTACAAGCTGCCGGGTTCAGAACCTGTGAAAAAAGTAACGGCTTAAAGTCCAGAAATTACGGTAATTAATTTGACATATGTTAAGATCAACTCTTGTGAGACTGACCCCTACCCTTTACTCTGAGCACTGATTCAGATGGGATCTGTGTTGAACTCTCCCAGTGATGATTAGATGTACATCTACAGCTCATTAACCTTTGACCTCAACCCACTTCAAGATGGCCGAGACTAATCTGTGTAAATGGGGAGTGGTGGTGCAGCGGTTAGACAAGATGGGCCTGTGATCAGAAAGTTGCAAGTTCAACTCCCAGTACCGTCAACATAAAAATGTGGGTGGGACTGGTGAAACACCCACACCTGTCTCCACCCTCATTTGCCCCACTCTGGGCCCCTGAACAAGGCCCTTAACCCCCCCCCCCCCCCCCCCCCCATCTGCTCCCAATAACACGTCTCTCTTGAAGATGAGTTGTGCTCACTCAATGAGAGTAGCTGTATAAATGAAGGGTCATGCAGGTCTGAGCTGTAATATACAAAGCAGATGGTCTCTTGTCCTGAGCTGGTTCTGCTGGAGGTTTCTTCCTTTTAAAAGGGAGTTTTTCTTTCCACTGTTGCCACTGTGCTTGCTCAGGATGGGAGACTGCAACAAAGCCAAGATTCAACTTGTCTGCTGGATTCATTAGATAGAGAACTTTACTAATTGGCTTTTATGTGAATGTTCCTGTAAAGTGCCCTGAGACAACTTTGTTGTGATTTGGAGCTTTATAAATAAACTGAATTGAACTGAATTGAATATTGGTAGCTGAGCATGGTCTCTTACACACATTGTGAGGGCAACGCAAGGTGCAACATCCTGGACTAAAACTGAGACTGACTGTTTAGCTGTTAGCAAAACAAGTCGACCACTTGTTACACGGATGTCAGTATAAAACACAGTTTTTTAATATTTTTCTTTTTTAAATTTGATGAAAATGGTTTCAGCTGTGTTGTTTCTCAGCTTCAGTTGATCTTAGTTCAAGACTCTGACATGACAGGTGCTGGATCCCTTCAGGAATACTGAACATTTAGTTTCATATTCATAAAGTCTTTATGATCAAGTCAGTTCACTTTTGCATTTTGTAACCTTTCCTCTGATTTATCTTAAACTGCCCCTCCCGCTCTGCTTGTGTCAGTACAACATGATGTTCTAAAAGTGACCAAATGATGTTTGTGTTTGTGAAGTTCCTGTGGAGAACGGTGACGCAGAGATGACATCAGAGGAGCCGTGGGACCAGAAAAAAGCAGAGCCGAACGAGGAGGAGCCGGGAGGCATGGATCGGGGTCCGGAGTCGGCGTCAACGGAGGAGATTGTTCCAGAGATGATGGAGGAGGAGGAGGAGATACTAGTGCCAAAGGTTCCACCTGTCCAACCAGATGCTCCCAAGAAGGAGCACATCAATGTTGTGTTCATCGGACATGTAGGTCAGTGTTTGCACCCGTCAGCTGTGCTACTGTGTGTCGGGGATGCTTTTAGAGTTCGCATCACATGTGGTACATGTGGTGGAACAAAACTGTGCACAGGGTCCCAGTTACATCCAACAATAGCAAAAATATAAAGTTCAAAAAGAAAGTAAATAAGGATCTAAGATATAAACTAAGATATACGCTAAACAAATGTCAAACAGTACGCTAAAAGATCTAAGATGAACACTAATGGTGCAAACAATACACCAAACAACAACAGGTTCTGTTCGACTCTAATTTACACGCTTGATGCGAGCACCAACATAAACTAACATAAACTGGGATTTATTCAAAGCATGCAACAAAATACAGAAACAAGGCACCAAAAGTGAAAAATAAATAATTCTACAGCAGCATGGTCCTGTTGGCCCCATGGTCCTGCTGGCCCCATGGTCCTGTTGGCCCCATGATCCTGCTGGCCCCATGGTCCTGTTGGCCCCATGGTCCTGTTGGCCCCATGGTCCGGTTGGCCCCATGGTCCTGCTGGCCCCATGGTC